CTTTCCAACCCTAAGGATTCTATGATTCTGTAATGCAGTAATGCTGCATGGGTATAATTGCAAATGTTTTATTCAGTCATTACTTAGTAAGGGTGCTAAATACCAACAGGTAAAGGTAAAAGACATTTAAACTTTCAGGACCAACTAAGTAATGTCCTGGAATTTTACGCAATTCTGAGTCATGCATGGTAATAATCAACCTGTGTATGTTTGTTCCAGAAATGAAAGCAAGAAACTGATTTGGTGCCATGAGAAATGAAAACCAAAAGGTTATTTGAGCTAAAATAACATGACAAGAACCTTTGGAAAAATCATGAAAGTAAATGAAAATCACATATAGGAATTCAATATTTACCGAGTTTCTAGTATCAGCAGGTTTTCCTGGAATTGTTGTAATTTGATGTTGTTTAATGGGATTAGCATTTCACCTGGCACAGGTAAATGTATAATATTGATCTTCTATTAAGACATTATGCCATATTCTGTTTAGTGCAAATATTCTCTTTAAAAATATTTTTATATGAAACTTGCAACATACATTTATCGGAACAAAAAAAAATGACCCAGCAGATCTGAAAAGTAATTCTATCTTGAAAATCATCATTAAAGTGAGACCTGTTTAGCAAAATTAAACCAAATCCTCATTGTATCCCCAACCTATTCATAATCTTTATTAACTTATGTAAAGAAAACATAAAATCATAGACTCATAGAATGGTTTGGGTTGAAAGGGACCTTAAACATTATCTAGTCCCAAACCCCTGCCATGGGCAGGGACACCTTCCATTATGCCAGGTTGGTCCAAGCCCTGTCCAAACTGGCCTGGAACACTGCCAGGGATGGGGCATCCACAACTTCTCTGGGCAGCCTGTTCCAGTGCCTCACCACCCTCACAGTAAAATAATCATTAATATCATAGATGCATCTGTAAATATTTGTAGGGAGATATTACTACTGAAGCAGAGCCTGGTTTTTTTGCAGGGCAGGTAGAATGGATCTTGCTGGATTGTTTATTTGAATGCAGATTAGTAAAAAGGCATCTAAGTACAAATATTTTCAAGTGAAATTATAGAGGCATTATAGTGTGGTTATGAACAACTCAAAGATTCATGCTTATGGTACAAATTTTGGATGTGGAAGCAAAGGAATATTAAGAAGTAGTAATAAAGTTATATATAGCATTTATCAGCCTATCACAAAAATAGTGGAATTGTATTTTAACACAAATAATAAACTGGAAAAGCCAAGAAAATCTGCCTTGCTATGACACTAAAAAACCCCCAACTCTTCAGCTCATACAAAAGCTTGATCATAAAGTACTAGGATTTGCAAGAGAAGAAAATTTCAAATATTAAGTCTCTTTAATCTGCAGGTGAGGTGACAGTGAGAACAACTAACTTGCAGCTACAATTATACTAATTTAAAATAAGCACAAGATCCTTTTATTTTAGACACAGGAGGAGTTGTTTGGTATAATATCCTTGAGGAGCCACTAAATTCTTTCCTCCCAAATTCTAGATTAGGATTCAATATATTTTCTAAATCTTGTGCTCCAAGTCATCCCTCAAATTAGGGACTCAAAGCAAAGTTCACATTATAAAATTTCTTGGCTGATGTTGTTATGGAGGTCAAGCTTGGTGCTCATCATAACCTCTCTGGCCTGCAAATCTCTTCAGTGGAGAACAGGTGAGCAATGGCCCCCAAATCATAACAAATGATGTGGTTGGAATAAGTGCTAAAAGAACAGAGGAGGCGGGGAAGTGCTCAAGCATTAAATACGTAGACAGTATGGAGGTTTTACAGATAATAAATAACTTGGAACTGGATCTTAAAATCCAGATAAGGCACATTCCTTTTTTTGCACTCTGAAAGTCAGAGGCATAAAAAGCTCCATTTTGATAACATTCTATCAGCATTTTAATTTAAAAGGAGCTACTAGTTCTGTATAATTTTAAAAACCCAATTAATGGATGGCTTGCTTAGCATCTTCAAACATAGTAACCCATTCAGTGATGAGCTGAAGTAGGTTCATTTGAGATCCCTTTTAAAATTCTCCCAATGCCTGAAAAGAATAATGGAATGTTTTTTCTGCATCTGGCCAAGACTGACTTTTTCGCGGACACAGCTAATCTGTCCTTCCTAATATTATGCAAACAGTGCACACAGATATTTCTGAATAGCAGCTTTTAGTTCTTTTTATTTATTTATTATTTTCTCAGTGGAATATAACAGTATGCCAAAGTTTATGTACAGGAATATGCAAACATTTACAGATTGGTTTGATTATACCACGCTGATATACACCATGAAATCCATAGTATGCACTCTTAAGGTGACATAACTTTTTATCAGGCGGTGTCTTTTATTCATTTTAAATTTAAATACCTGAAACTTTCTATTTAGCGAAAATGTGTATTTCCACTGAGTGGATACACCATAAATTAGTTCAATCTTGTTTCTTTTGATTATATTAGTAAGAAAGAGCATACATGTGTATGTGTGTCTGGCTCATAAATGTAAATTATGTTATTCCTTACTTGGAAATCTGGGTATATCATGTGGTGAAGGGTAGCAGGATTTAGTGGAAGTTTCTCAGTAACTTCCAGCATGTCACTGTTCATAAAACTCCATGCACTACCTGCTCTGAGGCATGATGTCATCAGTTTCAGTGTAACTGTTTTAGGCTTAATCATTGCAACTTTGCCAATAGAAACTTGAGGAAGTTCCAGGTAAATGCTCTGTGGTCTTTCTACCCATTCAGCTGCAATTGTAAAAGTTCATTCTTCCATTTATACTTCTCATGTTCAGCAGAGGTATTGCAGGATTAATATAAGCAACTAAATCTTTTTCTGCACTGAGGCATGGCATAACTATAGCTTGTGTTGTTTTATTGGGTTTTTTTTTGTCTTAAAAGCAGAAAGGGTGTTACCTCTCATGCCCTGGCTAAACTTCAACTAGGGTAACTGTAGTTCCCTTTAAATAAATTCCTGTGCAAATTTGGGAGGATGCAGAATAATTCACTTCCTGCCTTTTCCACTGACTCATAAGACAATTATGACACTTCTTTCAGTTTATCAGTCAATTAATCAGGCTTCTGGGAAAATATTCCTTCTCATGGTTAAATTCTTATAACTAACACTGAATATTAGTAACATCTTTTAGGAAATTAGTCATGTAATGTGAGCAGAATGCCACATCATTTTCTTCTATTTTCAGTGGAGTACAAGGAATGTGTGATTTTTAAACATGATAGTAAATTGATGCAGAGTGGCTGCTCTGATTGTGGTTTCAGTTATTTAGGTTTGGCTAAGCTCAATTTAGCCAGTTTGTGTTAAACTGAGGTAATGAAGGCTACATTTAACAAAAGAAAAATGGATGCATAAGATTTTGTACCAATTTACTCAGATTATTAAATGATTATGAGTTTAACTTCTACAATTTAAAATGTTTGTTTATTTCCACAGTTTTCGATGAACTGCTGTGTACTCTTAAGAGATGCCCCATGTCATGACCACCAGCAGCTGCTTAAGTGCACACCATGGGACACATCTTTCTTTTATTATCAGCATTAAGGGTTGTTGTAGCCTTTAGAAGAGGATTTTTCTGCTCAGTAGTGATAGAGATTTCCAGCTAAGCCAGACCATATGCTGATTCCTGGATTTCTTATCTGTAATCAGTCTTTCTTGATGTTGTCAAAGATGTTCCCATTAAAAACACAGAATTATTCTGGTACCTCAATTCTTCAGTGTTCAGGTACAACATTTATTATTATCCCTTACTACACAAGCCAGTAATACATTTCTTGCAGTTGTTGTATTTGTGACTCTCCAGCCACTTGAAACTAAGAGCAGCAAGGAGAGAATGAAAAGTACTGACAAGGTCTCCTGCAGACACTGTAATGCAGAGTAGTCTTTATGACTACAAATCCCTCATTATTGACTTGCCTGCTCATTCCCTTAACTTGGCATAGCTCACATTTTTCATCTGAGTAGGTAACTTCTTCATACACAAAGAATTTGGATAAGTGCTCCTTGTTTTAGATTTAGAGTCAGTTCCAAGATACGAGCTGGGAAATAAGTAATAGGATACAAGCTGTATTCAGCAAAGCAATCAAGTGGTGATTGTTTACACTGTATGTGAGTTCAAAAGCTCATAGTTCTAACCTCCATGGCAGAGTAACTGATGCAGCAGAGATCTTTGCTGGTACTAGGAAACAGTTGTTGCTATGTGCTGTTGACAAGAAAAGGAAAACAGAATAGGGTTTTTTTTTATAGTGCGTGCTTGTCCGGTATCCATTGCAGTCATGCATTTAGGAGCTTGTTTCTCCAGAATAAATATATATTCAAAAATACTCAACTTTGGTTACTATGCTTTCTTCCTTACCAGTTCATCTGTCACTCAAAATAATCATAGCAGTTACACTACTACAAATAAATGTCATATACTGTCATGAAATAATCTGTATAATATAATAAGTACAGATGCTCACATCTTTATGCAATATGCAGCTAATAAAAATAACTGCATAATTGCTAATTTCTATTGGCTGAGGGCTTGGCAGATTTTGAAACTGCCTGCTCTCCTGTGATTAACTGACTTAAAGTAAATTGGTGGTAGCAGTTTTTAAACTTTTTGAAATAGCTGCAGGGCAGTCTTTAAACAAAATGAAACAAAAGTCCAGGCAAACCCCAAAAGAATGCTTGTCCAAGCCCAGAAGGAATTATTTAAAGGGTTTGAAAGTTTCCTGTCCCTTTATAATTTTTGCGTATTTGTAGCCTCTGATGGTATACCACAACAATAAGCCTTATTCGTATGGGTAACCACAATGCAACTACTAGAAATAATCACATGAGGAACAGCTGCAAGAGTGAATTTGTGAATGTGCTGTAAATAAGAAAATTGTAAAACGGAATGCTGAAATGATTGTGACTGTTACAGAATGAAAGGGCAAAAGTCAGACATCTTTCCAAGTAATAAGTACTTCGTAATTGATCCTGGACTATACAACAGACTTCGACATTTATTTTAAAACTTTCAGATATGAGCAGTGTGCCCTCAGATAAAACTCAGATATCTTAAAAGGGCAGTTGGAATTTTCTTCGCTGTTAAGCACAACAGTGTTGGAGGAAGATCCCTGTGTGTGAATCCATACAGGCCAGCTTAAGATGCCTACTGTCTCCTGTTCTCCTATGAAACATGATGGATGGGGAGCTCATGAGCATTTGACAGCCTTCCTCTGTAAGGACAAAGGGGGAAAAGGTCATATTAAGCATGATTTCCTAGGTTTTCCTTATGTACTGTTTTGTACGTATTTATGTTGTGTAAAAAAAAAATACACAAATGGAAAATAAATTTACATTCAGAACTGGTCTTGCTTGCTACAGAGGTTTTCTATCGCTTAGATGTTATTCTTCTGTCTTCCAAAAACTACCAGACAGTGCTTACATTTAATTTTAACTGCATGTGTGAGCAAAATAAGTTGTCAACAAAACGATCAGGTTTTTGTCTATTTGCAAGCTGCAGTTATGCTGTTCTGTGTGGTATTAGCTGTAGCAACTCTAACATCTGAGAGCCTTCCAGGAGTTTGTTAAGTGATGTGACTTTTCATGGAATTTCCATGTGGCTTTTTTTTCTCATGGAAAAAGTGTGTCTCCTGTAATGTTTTGAATGTTTTTTTTAATCGTACATATTCCATCCATTCATCCATTCACATATCTTCTTTTTTCTGTTAGACAAGAAAAATTCACAGAAAGAAGCCTTCAAAGCCTGTGGTGTTGAGTGAGGAAGTACTTGCAGGAGATCCCTGGAAGGCTGTCTACTTTCTTGGAAGTCTTTTCTCTGTAGAAGTATCTCGCGTGTCAGAAGATGGAGTAGCCAAACACATACTTATTTTGGAGCTATGTTGTCCTTAGGTCCTCTCCTAAACACTCCACAGCTGTCCTCTAAACTGATAAATCCTTCAGAAGCTAACAATGTTTATACTCCAAATATAAAAAGCAGCTGTAAGGAGACACAGGGCCACAAATTTGCTGGCCCATTCCAGTGGCTGCAGCAGTGACAAATGGTCTGTAAACCTCACATTTCCTATACAACCAACCATATAAACATACATGTTATTTTTATATTTTATACATATAAAAATAAGTAAGTAAACATAAAGCCTTATGTGTCATTTCTTCTGACGTAACTTTTGTTTTCATTTCTCAGCATGGTTGCTCAATCCTAAAATAACAGTGAGTAAAATCCAACTAAATGTAATTGCTACTGCTTTCAACAAGCTTTGCATTTGTTTTGCAAAGACATCTATAATATGTTGGGCAGTGAAATGCGGATCTTTGTCCTTATCTTCTTTTAGATCTGTGTTCAAATAACAGACAGCTAGGATCAAACTGTCTTCTGTCCCTGGGGCTCACTCAGCTAGCATTCCAGCCCTGTACTTTCTCACTTTTTCAGGGTCATCTCCTTGCATGGTAATCTAAAGAAATGGGGTCATCTGAGTTTTCAGAGCACAGATCTGTTCAGGATACCATCTGTCTTGCAGTATCATCCCCAGATGCGCTGCTTGCTGAGCCTTATTAAATCACGTTTCCATTTCTTTCTTCAGGTTTTCTATTACGCTTTAGTTATCTCCATACATAGTTACTTGTTGTCTTAATTATTGTTTTAGGGAAAATCCCTGTGTCCAACTGAATACACACATTACCTTCTTTCCTTCTCTTCCTGTAGTTTGTGAAGTCTGCTTCAGTTTTGCTCCTTGGAGCAAATGCTGTTTTTATTGTTCTTATCACAGACTTCCCGGCTTACATTCTTCTTTGTATTACTGACCATGTAACTAGGAAGCCTGGAAAAGAACACAAAAAAAAATGTCTTTAACCTGTTTTAAGAATTGGACACATCCATGATAAATTTAAAGGAGAGAGTCCTATAACTGGGAAGGGTTGTTAGAAAATGCTGCTCTAAGTAGATAATCCAGTATAAGGTAAAAGAAAACAGACCTAAGAACAAAGAATTAGAGGTTAGGATCAGAAAGGAAAAAAAAGCCACAAAAATACCAAAATAATGTAATAGAAAAATAAAAGAAACAAAGTATTTAAGCTGGCCTGTTAGGGCCAAACAGAAGAGGAATGGTGGAAAGGAAATTCTGACTTCCAGTTAACAATTCTGCTGCTGCAGTTTTAACTTCTTGTAATTGTAACCCAAGAGTTTCCTGGAAGCTGCTAGCACGGAAATGCATTCAGCCTACAGAAAGGCAGGTTTTGCAATCCAAACATTTTACTTGCTCTTAAAATGAACCTGAAATCTGAATTTAGTCCATTTTTTTAAAGTGTATCACACGGGATGTTATAAAGTTGCAGTGAACCAAGGTAAATAGGTATAGTGCCTATAACTATGAGCTTAAAAAAGCAAATTCATCAAAAGAAAATAATATAATTTTGTTTTAATCAGGCCTGTGAAAAACTACTGCCCTGTGTCCTTTCTCCTTCAAAAATTAACTGTTCCCTTTCCCACAAGTCTATACTGGTTTAGACTGAAAAGGGTGAATAACTGATTTAAGGAGCAGAATAAGCGGGTGTCCTAGAAAACTGAGCCTGTGCCTTTCCACTCAAAAGAGTGTTTTGTTCTGGCAGCCAAAGAAGCTAAGGAAACCTAGTGGTTAGCTCCCTGAAAACAGGCTTGAGCACTGCTCCAGGGCTGCCCTATAGCAACACCATTCCCATCAGTTATCCTTTGCCATCAGCTCCCATTGCAGCGTGTCATTTCCAGCCAGAATTTCCAGCCCCTGTCACCTTTCCTCAAGCACAGAGATCATTTTGGCTACAGCAGTATCATGGAGATGTACATTAGAGGGGGTGTCAGGTTGTTTGGGTTTCCACTAAGTCATAAAGAGGTACTGCTGCAAATTTCCGGTAACTTTGGGGGTCCCTCCAAAGGCATTGAGTGCAACTCCAACATGGTGAAGGACTAAATCATGGAATCGCAGAATACCAGGTTGGAAGGGATCTCAAGGATCATCTGGTCCAACTTTTCTTGGCAGAAGCACAGTCTAAACTAGATGGCCCAGTGCTGTCCAGCTGAATCTTGAAAGTGTCCAATGCTGGGGAATCCACAGCTTCCCTAGGGAAATTATTCCAATGGCTGATTATTCTCATTGTGAATATTTTCCTCTTGGAAAATGGCTTAAATGGCTCATTTCTGTTTTCAAAACAGCACAGACATTGAAGTTTGGGTACATCTCACCACCTAAATAGTTGCCTAAAGCCCACTAAAAGGATAGCAACACATACCTCCAGAGGGCAGTTAATTTGATCTATTTCAGCCAGTTAACTTAGAGTGAGAGGAATTGCTCTCTGGAGGTGCCTCTTTCTGACCAGCAGCACTAAAGTATAATGCAACTGGTAGGTTATGGATATCCACCTTTTAGATACCTTACTTTCCTCCCCAGCTGTCTTGTATGAGGTTCTCTCTCAAGCTGCAGCCAGGATTTTCATCTGAACATTTCTCAAGTAGTAATTTCCTTTGGCACTTCCAAATGCATTTGACTGTACTCTTCATTCAGAGATGTAGAATGGAATAAACCTTCTACCTTAGAAATACACATGTACAAAACATCATTGCCATGAAGTCTTTGGAGGTCCTTAGATCAGATGTATGGATTTGATATACTTTTCAAAAGGAGAGGGGGAAAAAAGGAAGGAAAATTATCTATGGTAGTATTTGTACTAATAGAATTCTGTCGATTCTTAACAAATTTTATACAGTTCGGTAACACTAGGTGCAGGGTATTAGAATTCTAGAAGAACCAGTTTCACTTAATGATACTATATCTGCAAATATAAAATTAGTTAGCCATTCAGGCACTCTCTTAGCTATAGATTATGTGCTGTGGGTACGAGTCACCCATAAATATACAAAGATAGCAAAATGTATGTTTTATTTAATTGTTCTACATATCAAAAGCCCTACGATTTGTAAAAAAAAAATGGTTTCCATAGACAGATTGCTTTACGTACAAAGGATGCTGACACAAAATGTCAGAGAACATCTGCTTTGATAAGAACAACTACTACTCATACTGGAAAACTGTTTAAGTGTAAGCTGCTTTAGAAGTCCAATTAAGTATATGCTTAACTCTGTGAAGATAGTTTCTTTCAGGGTGACTGAGTCTTTGCTTACACCTTTACATCTAGTTTTGATGATGATTTTCTAACCTTGCCCTTCTCAGTAACATTCTTCCATTTGTAAGTCACCCATAATATACTTTTCACATTGATTCAGCTGCTCTTAGGGTTGCCATAACTGTGGCAGTTCAATTACTTTATTTCTGCCTACCATTTCCTTTTCTCATTAAAGCTGAACATGCAGCTTTGAGGAGTTTTTGCAGCACACTCTATGTAAGATGCTACTCAGAGGTATGAATGAAATAGCTGACAATGGTGGTAGTCCCTCTGAAAGCTTTGCATTGATGCTTGAAAGGCTGCAGTGGTTTCCTATTTGTCACTATTTGTATATCAGCATGTTGCAATTGGATCTTTAAAGTGCTCTGTGGTCTGAATCCTATCTATTTTCAATGCCACTTCCCTCCCAGTGACAGCTGAGATAATTGCATCTGCTTTGGCTTGCAGCTCAGATACTTGTAGATGACTAAAATAGTAAAAAGGGAAAAGAAAAAGCCCACCTTCAGGCTGGTGTCAGGTCCTTGACTCTGTCAGCAGCTGACTCCAAGGGCATGTCACAGAAATGAAAATAACTCTGTTTCAGAATGTTTGCTGTCGTACTTGGGATAGCATGAGTTTAAACAGCGCTTCATGGGACAAATGATTTTGTTTCAGGCAACGTGAGGACAGAACCAGGCTGACCACATCTGTATCCAGATTTGGTCAGGAAAAAGTTATTTTACTTTTCTTGCAACAACTGTGGGTTTCTCAAAAACTCTCCACACATATTCCATTCTTGGGGTGCACGTGAACTCACTGACAGTGTTAGCTGGGGCTTCCGCTCCCACCCTGAACAATACCAGTACATGGAACAGACTGAATCATCATTTGGCATCCCCTACAGTAAAGGATCCCATAGCTGCAGGAATCTGTGGCACTGGCAAAGAAAAGGGGATTGTCATCTTCGTGTGGGTGTCATTTCTCAAAATGTTACTGCTACTTTTTTCTCCATTAAGAGGAAACGTTAACAGAAATGTTCTGTTCCTGGTGGTTATCTGATGTTTGTCTAATGGTTTGTCCTTGAATAACATAGCCAAGTAAAGATTGTGAGATGTTCCCAAAGCAGCACTGGCTTCTGACACGAGAGTCTTTGCTAAGGACTAATGTCTGGTATGTAGGTGTCAAAAGTCCTCCCACCTGCTTTACAAATTCAGGCTTTTGGCAAAACCTGGAAGGGCACATGGAGTTCTGCCTGTGCTCCTAGAGGCTCTGCCATAAAATGCCTCAGCTTGGCATCAGGTTATCAGTGGATAACCTCTTAAAGCTTCCCCTTCTCTCCTTCTGGGAATAGTACCAAATGATAATATTTCTGACTACTTAATATAATGTATTTAATATAATAAAATATATTATAATAGCCTTGAATTGCTTTTCTTCTGTCTCAACTGAAAACCCTTATAGAATATACTTGTAGTCTATTTTTCTGGGGTGAGGCAAAGTATAAGAAAATAAGTCAAGATGTGGAAGGGAGTGGAACTTCAATACAGCTGAAAATGGGGATACGCTGGATTGAGCGAAATATTGCAAAAACTGCATGCTCAAATGCTGTCATAAGACCCTGGATCTTCTCTTTCCTCCAAGACAACATAACAGTTACCAGAAAGGCAGCCTTTGTTGAAATTCATTACACTAACATACTTTAGGCCCCCCCAGAAAGTCCAGAACTAGTGAAAGGTGACATGATGTGGGCTGAGTGGCACCTGTTAAGTTTTCACAGCCCCTCACAGTATTACACTTCCCAAGGGACAAGCCTTGACTTTCACTAGAAAGTGAAAATTCCAGAACTATATGAAAACCAAGAACATGGTGTGAGCTGAGCTTTGCACTCATGTCTCTCATAAAGATTTTGAAGCCTAGAGGCATTGTAATGAAGGCCTTGTATCTCATGTGGATTGTCTACACAGCATGCATGAAGACCAAGTCTGGACAGCTGAGTGCAGTAGAATGGAGAACCAGTGTAGCCACAGCGCAGCACCTGCACAGCTTGGATGTGCAATGCAAATACCATAGTGGAGCTATGGCCTGTGTACAGTTTATCCATTTACATGCAGAAGCTGCTTGCTGACAGTCCCCACGAGTGGCCAGCTACTATGAAAGTAGTAGCTACTACTACATGGGATCTTGTAAAGTCCGCAGCAATCCCAGCCCTGGCCAGTCAGTCACATGCTGAGGGCCTGGATTCTGTTTCTGTAGCCTCACACACCTTGACAAAGGCACCTTTCTCATGGCAGGTTTCTATGCATTCTGCTCTTGCCAGAGGTAATACTGTATTTGTACTGGTTTTGGATTCAGTCCCTGGATACCAGCCTTCTTGCCCACCCCCAGCTTTGCAGATGCTTGCAAAGCCACCTGCAGGAGGTTGTGTTAAATACTTCTCTCCAGGAATCCGTGGCCAGAGTCTTACTAAGGTGACTGAACATTTCCCTTCAACTAGCTCAGCTCCCAGTTCACCTAGAGACAGAACAAACAGCAAAGAACAAAAGACACACTGTTAAGCCTCTGGCCAAAAACCTTTCAGTGTTTGCAGTCTTTGTTTCACAGTGAGGGACTTCAGATTCCCTGCAACCATCCCATAGTCCTGCCCAGTCTCTGCCAGATCACTCTCCTGAAGACAGTGCACCCGTTA